GAGGTGCTGTGGCAAGTCCAGGGAAGGGCAACAAAGCTGGTGAAGTGCTGAGAGGGTATGTCCTGTGAGGAGCTGCTGTGGGAGCTGGGGCTGTTCAACCTGGAGAAAAGGAGGCTCAGTGGAGATCTTATAGCTCTCTACAGCTCCCTGACAGGAGGTTGTATCCAGGTGGGTGTTTGCCTATTCTCCTAGTCAGCCAGTGACAGGATGAGAGGACACAGTCTCAAGCTGCCCCAGCAGAGGTTCAGATTGAACCTCAGGAAGAATTTCTTCACAGAAAGAATGATTAAACACTGAAACAGGTTGCCCAGGGAGGGTGGTGAAGTATTCAAGAAATGACTGGACATGTTACTTAGTGCTGTGCTCTCATTGACAAGGTGGTGATTGTTCAAAGGCTGGACTCGATCATCTTGGAGGTCTTTTCTAAACAAATTGATTCTGTGGTTCTGTAATTCTCTGATATGGCCCTTCACTCTGAATGAGAAGGAAGGTTTGAAGAGAAAAGTAGAGGAAGCAAGGGTAAAGAAAGCCATTTTCCTCTTCAGGTATCCCTTTTCTTCTGAGAAGGTCTACAGGCATGGATGGCAGAAAAGGAGAGAAGCTCCAAAGAGGTCAGTGTTGTTGGAAGTGTGGGGAGTAGCCATTCCCACAGGCAGTGGGTATTCAGAAGGAAACTCTCCATTTGACAGTGCTGTCTTCTGCATGACTTGAAAGCATAAAAACACAACTTGGTTTTAAAAGAGGGCTTTTAATTTATGATAGACGTGAAAGTACCTGTAAGTTTGATGTGTGCTTTGCAAAGAGAGGTGTGTGCTCGGACTAGTTCACAGATTTCTATTTTATGTCTTATCTGTTATATAATGGTTTCATAAAGAAAATTCTGGCACCATCATTGACACTGAGAAATTTTTATGTGCAATATGTAGGAGTGCTCCTCCTGTGCCACAGGAGTAGGAGCTGTGTGCTGGAGTGATCTGTGTTACTGACTGCACTTCATGGGGCTGAAGGATGGGCAGTTTTGGATCTCTGTTTGCAGCCATATGCCAGGACACAAGCTGAGAGAGTTGGGTGTATTCAACCTGGAGAAGAGAAGGCTCTAGGGAGACCTTAAAGCCTCTTCCAGTACCTACAGGGGCTTCAGCAGAGCTGGAGAGGGTCTTTCGACAAGGGTATGGAATGACAGGATATATTGGATTTGTGTAGCCAGGTTTTGGTAGTGTGGGGGCTACAGGGGTGGATTCTGTGAGAAGCTGCTGGAAGCTTCCTCTATGTCTGGTGGAGTCAATGCCAGCCAGCTCTGGGATGGACCTGCTGCTGGCCAAGGCTGAGAGAATCAGGAATGACAGTAACACCTCTGGGATAATGTATTTACGAGGTAAAAACAAAAGTTATTGAGCAGATGTAATTGTGGCCAGAGTGAGAACATGGGAACAACAATGCAGACACCAAGGTCAGTGCAGAAGGAGGGGCAGGAGGTGCTCCAGGCACCGGAGCTGAGGTTCCCCTGCAGCCCGTGGTGCAGCTCATGGTGAGGCAGCTGTGCCTCTGCAGCCCATGGAGGACCACGGGGGTGCAGATTCCCACCTGCAGCCCATGGAGGAGCCCCTGCTGGAGCAAGTGAATGCCTGAAGGAGGCTGTGAACTCATGGGAAACCCACACTGGAGCAGGGTCTTGGCAGGGACCTGCTGACCCATGGAGAGAGGAGCCTATGCTGGAGTAGGTTATCCTGGCAGGACTTGTGGCCCTGTGTGGACCCACACTGGAACGCCTGAAGAACTGCACCCCATGGAAAAGAGACCCACGTTGCAGCAGTTTGTGAAGAACTGTTGACTGTGGGATTGACCGATGTTTTGGAGAAGTTCATGGAGGGACCCCACACTGGAGCAGGGGAAGGACTCCTCTCCCAGAGCAGAGGCAGGAACAACATGTGATGAACTGATCATAACTCCCCCTCCCCATCTCCCTTTGTTGCTGGAGGAGGAGGAGGTAAAATCCATGAAGTAGGGAGAAGGTGTTTTTAGGATTTATTTTACTTCTCATTATCCTGCTCTGATTTTGTTAGTAATAAATTCAATTAATATCCCCAAGTTGAGTCTTTTTTACCCGTGACACTATTCGGTGAGTGATCTCTTCCGGCCGTTTCCTCAACTCATGAGTCCTTTGTTATATTTTCTCCCTCCTGTCCAGTTGAAGAGGGAAGTGATAGAGCAACTTTGGTGGGTACCTGGCATCCAGGCAGGGACAACCCACTACACAGGACAAAGGGAAATGGTTTTAAACTGACAGAGGGCAGGGTTAGATTAGGTATGAGGGATCAATTCTTCGATATGAGGGTGATGAGGCCCTGGCACAGGTTGCCCAGAGAAAATGTGGATGCCCCATCCCTGGAAGTGTCCAAGGCCAGGTTGGATGGGGCTTGGAGAAACCTGGTCTAGAGGAAGGTATGCCTGTCTCAGGCCAGGGTGTTGGAACTGGATGATATTTTAGGTCCCTTTCAACCCAAACAATTCTGTGAGTCAATGAAGCCCCAGGGAGTGAGACTCTTGTATCTTCCTTTTTCCTCTTTCCCGTAGTGGTACAGCTGCTCAAACAACTTTTCTGCAACTGTTAAAAAAAAAAGAAAAAAAAAAAAGAAGAGATGATGCATCAACATGGAATATCTCTATCTGTATTCACAAGAGCTGACTTATATATCCCCTAAGCTAAGTGATCAACAGCCTATGTTCTGCCTTCCTTACCTGTGCTCTCTGTTAATCACCAGCTGTCTGATACTCCAAAACTGCAGTTTTAACACTTCTCATGTTTGAAACTGGAAGACACTTAGCAGCAAAACCTTCCCCTCATTTTTTTTTTTTTACCTCTTTTTGTTGCTCAAAAAGCAAGATAAACCTCCTTGCTTTCAAATCTTTTTAGATATCTAAGATCCAGAGTTTACCCAGACACTTGCAAAGACACCAAGTCTTTGTGGGTAGCCTTAGTCATCAAATTCCATCTGCATATAAGCCACCATGGAATGGACAGAGAAAAGTCACTTCTCCTAGCATTTACTCTCTGAGGGACAGAGGCAGTGCAAACTGTTTATTTCCACTTCAGAAATCACAGGTTCAGCCTTCTTGAGCTTGCAGGTTTATCTATCATATTTGTATCACATGGTTTCCTTTACTTTGGCCTTTGAGTCTTGTCTGGGGAAAAATGTTACCTCATATGAAAAAGAAAGGATGTTTTTCTTTAAAACATCCAATCATTTCAGATACATAAAGTGAGGACCATGTCTGAATGAGTGTGGAGACTGAGATTGTTTAAGGCAGATGGTTTTCTCCAGCGTTTTCATTTGTCTTAGAATGGCTTATCTGGGGGAAATCCAAATCATGTAGGACCTGGATCTCCCACCTCTTCTGGCAGGGCAAAGTGATAGCAGTCACTGGGGAAATACAACCTGGGAGAAGGGATGGAAATCTTTAGGTCTGGAGGACAGTGGGTAGCTGCACTCCATCTACACAGCCTGGAGCTCAGTCAGGACTACTCCTCCCTTGGGCCATGGAAGGGTTGGGAGGAAGATGAACCTGCATTCCCAAGGTACTGCACTGCTGCTGAACAAGGCTGGCATTTCCTGGACTTCTTGAGCCTCTGATGTAAAATCCCTCAAATCCACCAGAACACCAGAACCATCCATCTGGCACTTCAGACAGGTCAGGCTGATCTTGAATGTGTTTTCTCTCTTAATTCCCTTTCACTAGATTAATCTACCTCTTTGGAAGGTTCCACAGTGCATTAGAAAGCATTGTGAGGCTGTGAGTTTACAATGAATCACCAATTAGCAGTTCCATGGGAATCGTTTCAAGTGAAATCAGACTTTGTTTGTTCAAGTAGTCTGTGCTTTCAGAGGGAACCTGAATGTGACCTGGATTGTCCAAAGCAGCTCATGTTGTAGTGGCCTTAGAACAGATCTGATGTTTACACAGACATTACTAATAATCTGTAGAGTTTTTCATGAGCTGCTCTTACATGGAATTCCATCCACTAGGGAAAGAGATATTTGAAAGTGCAAAAGACTTCATATGCTTGAGGATTTTCGTTACTGTTGGAGCACCACTATTTGCACAGTTGCTGTGTGAAAGCTGAGTGCATAAATCCCATTGGAGGGGAACTAACACGATAACCAAGAGCACCAGTAAAAAAATACATAAGGAAATTCTCCCATTGTGTAATTAGTCTGAATAGGTTTGCAGGTTCTTGTGTACATGGAGTGTAACTTCGGAGGATCCTAGCAAGATACACAGTAGATAAGCAGTTCCTCAGGAGCTGAAGGTGTCAACTTATAAAACTTGTATAACAGGAAAGTTTGGCCTTTGTATCCAGAGGCTAAGTTGGTTTAACAAACCTCTAATATTGACCCAATTTCTTAGTCTAACTCTCAGTGTGAAAAGTTTGATTGGAGGGACACTATTGTAGGTGTGATGGCATCTTCAGGGGGGATTTGGACACTCCTCCTCCTGCAAGGATGCTCTGAGGACTGTGACATCACTCGTGGTGATTGAAATTTCAGCAAGAAGCAACTTGTGGTTTATATATAAGATGACTTTACAATCCATCACTAGGGCAGAGGAATTTTATTGTGAACTACTCAGGAACTACATAATCTAGCACACAATGATCTTTTGATTGACACGTTGAATACATTGATTATATTGAATACACTGAAGACATGTCACAAAATCCTTTAGCCATAAATCTGCAGAAAAGGTTCAGAAGCACAGCAGGGAATTAAGTTATTCAAGCAGTGCATCAGGGAAATTTATCTCTGACCGGTCAAAGCTTCCTGTAGATCTGATGCCTGAGCCTGCCTATCTCAGACCTCAGCTCCTGCTTCTACAAGGTGCAGGTTTCAAAAGCAAGTAAACAAAATCTGGTTCCCAGCATCACAGAATCACTGCATTGCTGAGGTTTGGAGGGACCTCTCAAGATCTCCTAGTCCAGACCCCTGCTCAAGCAGGCTCAGCTAGAGCAGGTTGTCCAGGATCATGTCCACTTGGGGTTTGAGCCTCTCCAGCAATGGAGACTCCACAACACCTGTGGGCAACCTGGGCCACCCTCGTCCCACAGCCTTCCTAAGGAGGGGAAGGACGAGTCAGCAGCACACTCTGAGGGACAGCTAATGAGGAGAGGAAGGAACTAAGACCTGTCTCTGGGTAGGGAGCAAAAGGGAAACAAGGCAAAGCCCTTCTGGACTCACTGAGAAGCTCTGATTTCCTTGTCCATGGGCTCTTCTCCAGCTGTTCCCTCCAGACTGCCAGGGCAAGGACTCACCTCTAAGAGCTCTCTGCCAGCATGGGCAGCAAAGCAAACCAGCTGGAGGCTCTGCCCACCTCCTTCTCTCTTTTATCAGGGCAGGAGGAGGAGTTGCCCTGAGGGACAGAGCTGGAAACCCACCAGAGAAGGGAGCAGGATGGACACTGCACAGGACATTGGTCCCTGTCTACTCGGCTCTCATGAGACCCCACCTGCAGTGCTGCCTCCAGCTCTGGGCTCACAACATGAGAAGGACACCAACCAGTTGGGGTGGAGTCCAGAGGAGGCCATGAAGGTACTCTGAGAGCTGGATCACCTCTGCTCTGGAGACAGGTTGAGAGAGCTGGGGGTGTTCAGCTGGAGAAGGCTCTGAGGAGAATTTGGATCCCATTCCAGTACCTAAAGGGTCTCTGGGACAGTTGGAGAGGGACAAAGGCATGGAGTGACAGGAGAAGGTGGAATAGCTTTAAACTGGCAGAGGGCAGGGTCAGAGTATGTATCAGGAAGAAATTCTTCCCTGTGAGGGTGGTGAGGCCCTGGCACAGGTTGCCCAGAGAAGCTGTGTCTGCCCCATCCCTGGAAGTGTTCAAGGCCAGGATGGACATGGCTCTGAGCAACCTGGTCTAGTGTTCCTGCTATGTTTCAGGGGGGGTGGGGACTGGATGATCCTTGAGGTCCCTTCCAACTCAAAGCATTCTATGATACTGTGATATGTGAGAAAAGCCCCTGAGCCTTTTACACCCGGGATGCGAGGGGTTTGTACGGGGACAGTCGCTGTGGAAGAGAGAAACATTTTGCATTCCATACAGCTGGGCCAAACTGTTCTCCAGCTGCCCCAGAGTGAGGTCCCAGACCTGGTCCTGGTTGTTCTCAGCAATGGCCGCCCAAGCACTCATGGTGTTGTTCTTGGTCTTGCAGCAGGCACCAGACCAGATGTGGCTGGGTACATTAACCCTCCCATTGGAGATGGAGGAGTTCCCAGGCACAGCCCCCACAATGACGTAGGTGGTTTGACAGTCCTTGCTTTTATTGGCCATCGTTTGCTGCTCATAGTTTTTCCAGGCATGTTGGTTGAGTTTTTTGTTCATGGGCACTATGTTGGTGAGGGTGAAGGTCGCATTCCTGCTGGCCGGGGTGTTGTGGTGGCCATTGGGGTTCAAATAGCCACAGTCCCAACCGCTGTGCTCATAGTCTCTGTCGACAGCCTGGCTTTGCATGATTTGCGCTCTGGTGATGTTGTATTGACGTTCAAGGGTCTGCATTGTTTGCATGTTTTTGGGCAAATTTGAAAGTATCAGCTTGACAGGTAAAGAAGAGGAAAAGGTGTTAGTATTGGGGATAGGAGTACTGGAGCAGGTTTCCCTGGAGCAGAAGTCTCCAGGTGTCAAGAACACATTTTTCTCTTCTCAGTCTATGTAAATACATGAATCTGAGAGAAATCCTATAGCTGCCCCTCCTGGATGAACACAAGAGCTTTTAAAAGAAAAGAAGCTCAGAATGTTACTGCTCTCCTTTTGACTTGTGACCTTTGTGATCCAGCCTGCAGTCTGTGCTGGGAGTGTGGCTGGATATATGAGATATTGAGCATTTTCCACTCTGGCTTTGAAAGGAGGAAGGTCTTTGGTGAGAAACCTTCCCTGACACAGCTGGTTCCCTTTCAACCTGTCTCCAAACCCACTTCTACCCCAGATCCTCCCACCCCCATTCTTTCATTCTCTGATTCCATCTGTGGTTGCTACAGGTGTACCACACTCCTGGAACACCAGGGTTTGCCTCCTGTAACCCCAGACACAGGGATTGAGAAACCAGTGCCAGAGGTGAGGTTTACCAGGAGGGGCTACAAGTCACTGTAAGATAGAAGCCTTTTTGTTCATTAATCAAAAAGACCTCAATGCTACTGCATTCCTAATAACGTCTCAGAGCTGATCTGGGACAGGGAGCATCTTCGGCAGCTTCACTAAAAACAAGTTAGAAATGATCAGCTTCTTCAAGGAGCTCATAATTCATTAAGAGTCCTGAGGAACCCAAGTACTGAAAAAGGACCTCTGGACAAAGTTACCAAAATCAAAGAGTTTGCAGGAGACCTGGCTCCATGGTCCAGGAGGGAAAGGGCCAGGTTGGATGGGGCTCTGAGCAACCAGGTCTAGTGGAAGGTGGCCCTTCCCACGGCAGGGGGGTTGAATTGAGATGATCTTTGAAGTTCTGTCCAACACAAATCCCTCTATGATTCTATGATTCTATGAAACAAGAGAAGCTTTTATCCCAGCCCTAAATGTGGAGACTGCAGTGGTGCAATATCATATTAGTTGTTTGAGTTCCAATGAGTACAAAGTGCAAACGGGTTTTTTTTTAGACCTCCAACGCCTTTCTGTTCCTCTTTGGAAAAACATATTTCTTCTCCCTCTGGAACAGGGCATGTGGCTTTCATCTGTCACTCATGAACACCTAAATTCCATCCTGCTGCTCTGTCCTTAGCAATGACCTGAACTTCCTCTCTTTCTGTTCCATAATTCCCTTGGGCTTTTTCACTGGAGGTCTGAAGGACATTTGGGAGAGCTCTGTTGTTTGGGGAGATCTGAGTGTCTGGTGGATCCTTCTGAACCAAGCCTGAGGCAGCAGTGCTCAGGGGCAACTGGCCATGGCTGGAGATCACCCTCTTCTGACTGGACTGACACTGATGCTCCTCACTTTTCACTGCCTGAAATATCACTCAATACATTCCCCAGGGTTCACCAAACCCTCTCATCACTCAGTGCCTGTGCCAAGGCTTTTTCCCTGGGTCATCTCTGAGTTTCTCCTCATTTCTCTCAGGTCACTTACAAAGAGAAATGGAGTCCTAACTGTGAGAAATTAAGCTCTGTCAGGGTTACAAAACATCTCAGGGCAAAGTGGAGATTAGAATCCAGCAGGATTGTTGATCCCCCAAATTTAGCTGCTGTTGGATGCCTTTTCCCCATCACTTGATCTCCCACCACAGCAGGGCACAGAGAGGGAGGTCATTTGACTTTGGAATGGAATGGAATGCAATTTGCCTTGATGTTGTTCTCAGCTCAATGCAGAAAACTGGGCACCTTTGGGATAGGACTCCTCCTCCTGCTGCTGCTGTTTGAAATGCATCAGAGGAATCATGTGGTGCAGGTGTTTGAAGTGAGATGAGATGAATCCCACCCAGTGGGTCCATTTGCAGGTGTGTGGGGGTGGGAGGAAATAGAGATGTTTGGTTAAATGCTGCAGTTCATCATTTAGTGACTGCAGAGTGAAATACTGTAAGAGAGGACACTCACCTGGGGCTCAACTGTCCATATGTGGTTTGTGGTGAGCCATCCAGGCTCGTATTTGTAAGCAGAGTACATGGGAATACGCCTCTTTTTGTCGTACAAGGTGGCAAAGAAAGGCTGGTTTTTGAAGGTCTGGCAGATCCAGGCTGGGTTCTGTGGCTTCATTGCTGCATCTGGGGGGGTGTTATCATAGAAGAACTGAGGACAACTTGCAAAGGACTCCACCACCTCGCCCTGTCCCAGCCAAAGGCAGCTCGCCCAGACCTGCAGCAGCAGCAGCCAGAGCATCGTGGGAGGATTTCAGGTGAAGGGCTCTTGCTCCCCTGGAAGGCAAATGCAGAGGGACACTCAGCTTGGAGAGAGCTGACCATGGCCTGCAGTCATTTTTGTGCTGATGGGACACAGCTGCCAGAGCAGGGGACTATGGGAGACCAAGAAGAGGGTACTGTCTGACCTCCTGGATATGGAAAACCATCAGGGCAAAGAAGGTGAAATCTAAAAGAGGGTTAAGGTGACTACAGGAGGCAGCAGTGGGAGAATTCATCTTTTGTCTGCCATGTTAAAGAAGGCAGACAGGAGAGGCAGATGGAAGGATTCATAGGACAGAAAGCTGCCACAGCCCACCTGACACTGCAAAAGGGTCTGGGCTGAGGACTGCGGAAGACTTGACAAAGCACCTTGCACATTTGCTCTCTTCTGACCCTTTGCCCTGACCTTTATCTCTTCATATCCAATGAAGAGATGGAATTGGATATTCAGGATATAGAGCTACACACACCCTTGCTCTCACCCAAGACATCTGCTCCTTTTTCTCTTTACCAGCCCTGGATCAGGAATGTTGGGACAAGGGACAAGGAAACTAAGAATATGAGCCATGAGCAGTGGCTTTTTACAGTGCTCTGCAGAGCAGGACCATCTCTGCCCCAAATCAAGCAGAAAAGGTCCTATAAGGTCCTTTTGCACCAACCCCTCCATGAGCTTAAAATATATCTCTTTCTCAATATCAGATAGAGAGAAACCAACTTACCGTGGGAAATATGGGCTCAGGACTCTGCTCACAGCCCCAGAGTGGCAAAGGACTTTGAAATGTCTCTGCTGCAGTTTGAGACTGGCTCTTTATATATGATGTCCCTGGAAGGAAGAGTTGTAACATCTCCCACACAGGGTTTCAGATTAAGTTTGCCCAGGAGTGTAGCCCGCACCTATGTTTGCCAGAGGTTTTTTGCACGGTCATGGGTGGAATTTTGGTACTTAATACGCTCAGCACCACACCTCACCCCTCCTGATTCTTAGTCAACATTATGGTGTGAATTTTCCAGGTGACTTGGTTTGAATTTCTCTCCCAAATCCATCCTTCTGTCCTTGCCCTCCTTAATACAAAAAGTTAAAGAGCTGCACAATTCAGTGCATGCATAACTTCTCATTTCTCCATGGAAGGCAGATGGTGGAGCTCAACAACTCCAGCCTACGCTTTGTCTGATCTCTTTATTCCAAAGCTAAGGAAACACTTGAAATATTGGAGTCAATGTTGAAAAAGGAACAAGAGCTTACCTTGAAGCAGAGTCTCAGAACAGGCAGCTGAGCCGCTCCTTGCCTCTTCTCCCTGGAGAAACAGTTGGCTGATCCCTCAGGAGTCCCACTGCAATATATGCCTGGTTGTAAATCTCATAAACAGGGAATTCCATAGAAAAGAGGAGTTTTCTGTTGTTACTCAGGGGAGATTTGTTCATCCTTGCACAGAAATTGGGTGACAGTTGCTATTTGCAATTTCTTCTGGGTTTCTCCAAAGGTAGCTGATTGAAGCCACATCTCAGGAGCAGTTAACTGGGTCTGGTGACATCGCTTTCAATTTCCTCATTCCCCAGGGGCCACAGCCACTGCTGCTGCAGCACCCACACAGGTTTCTGTTCCTGGCAGAACATCTCTGGTGCCCTTTGACCAACTTGTCTCGGAGCACTCCCAGATGTTCACAGTCAGCTCTTCTGCAGCCTCTCAGGAGATAATTAATATGACCAGCCTGCATATTTTTCCTTTCTGGATTGCCAAGGCTTTGTAAAAGCCCGTGTTCCTGCCACCAGCCTGGGAAAGAGAAGGCCTTGGGGACATATTAGAGCCCCTTCCAGTTCTTTAAGGGTGTGCAAGAGAGCTGGAGAGAGACTTTGCACAAGGTCTGGGAGTTGATTGGACAAGGTGGAATGGCTTTAAACTGAAGGAGTGTAGATTTAGTTTGGATATGAGGAAGAAACTCTTGGCTGTGAAGGTGGTGAGACAGTGGTACAGGTTGCCCACAGAAGCTGTGGCTGCCCCATCCCTGGAAATGTTCAAAGGCAGGTTGGATGGGGCTCTGAGCAGCTTGGTCTAGTGGAAGATGTCCCTGCCCATGGAAGCAGATTGGATCCAGATAATCTTTAAGAGCCCTTCCAAGACTCAAAATGAGTCTTCTATGAGTCTATAATCATTCATTCACTACTAAACTGGACTCATTTTTATCCACTTCCAAACGTCCAGGAATACTGGAAAAGAAGTTGGTTGTCACCACCAGAAATGACCAGAAGAAGTGTGATAGACCCAAGTGTGTTTGAAGGAAGTCGTTGAGTCCTGTGGTTTATTTTGTCCCTGATAACCTGGGACTGGCATATTAAAGTGGTTTTGAGGCAGATAAGGGACAAGGCTGATAAGGAGCAGATCTGGCAGTCCAACCTCATTCTCAAGGCAGTCCAAACTGGAGGTAGCTGAGCAACTGCAGGGAAATGGAAAAACCTCTTGTGACTGCAGCACTGCAAAAAGGGGATTTGCGCCTTTAGTACCTCCAAGCTGATTCCTTTCTCGTTTGGGCTTCCCGTGTATTTCACATGCTTGCTGTGGAGAGGAGGGCATTTCTGGCTATTGCCAGGGATCAAGGAGAGCCCTCAGAGCTGACAGAGGTGGGACTCACGGGATCTCTGGACTACCTCTTGGGGCTCCCTCTGACTTGCTCACCCACCTCTTGATGCCCACTGGGGCTTGAGACCACTCTCATCCTCACCACTGCTCATCCCATGCTCCACTGCCCCTGCTTTCCAGGCTCTTGAGCCATTGGCTCCTTGACCACCCCCATGAGTTCCACCTCCATCAGCTCTCTGGGCACTCCCCAGGACCTTTACCCCTCTCACTACCCAGAAATGCTCTACCCTCCACAGCAAGCATGTCAAATACACAGGAAGCCCAAAACCTTCCCCTCATTTTTTTTTCTTTTACCTCTTTTTTTTTGTTCAAAAAGCAAGATAATACTCCTTACTTTCAAATCTTTTTGGACAGACATCTAAGATCCAGAGTTTACCCAGACACTTACAAAGACACCAAGTCTTTGTGGCTAGCCTTAGTCATCAAATTCCACCTGCATATAAGCCACCATGGAACGGACAGAGAAAAGTCACTTCTCCTAGCATTTACTCTGTGACAAACGGAGGCAGTGCAACCTGTTTACTTCCACCTCAGAAATCACTGGTTCAGCCTTCTTGAGCTTGCAGGTTTATCTATCATATTTGTATCACATGGTTTCCTTTACTTTGTCCTTTGAGTCTTGCCTGGGGAAAAATGTTACCTCATATGAAAAAGAAAGGATGTTTTTCTTTAAAACATCCAATCATTTCAGATACATAAAGTGAGGACCATGTCTGAATGAGACTGAGATTGTTTAAGGCAGATGGTTTTCTCCAATATTTTCTATTGTCTTAAAATGGCTTATCTGGGGGAAATCCAAATCATGTAGGACCTGGATCTCCCACCTCTTTTGGCAGGGCAAAGTGATAGCAGTCACTGGGGAAATACAACCTGGGAGAAGGGATGGAAATCTTTAGGTCTGGAGGACAGTGTGTAGCTGCACTCCATCTACACAGCCTGCAGCTCAGTCAGGACTCCTCCTCCCTTGGGCCATGGAAGGGTTGGGAGGAAGCTGAGCCTGCATTCCCAAGGTACTGCACTGCTGCTGAACAAGGCTGGCATTTCCTGGACTTCTTGAGCCTCTGATGTAAAACCCCTCAAATCCACTGACACAGCAGAACCATCCATCTGGCACTTCAGACAGGTCAGGCTGATCCTGAATGTGTTTTCTCTCTTAATTCCCTTTCACTAACTTAATCTGCCTCTTTGGAAGGTTCTTCGCATTAGAAAGCATTGTGAGGCTGTGAGTTTACAATGAATCACCAATTAGCAGTTCTGTGGGAATTGTTTCAAGTGAAATCAGACTTTGTTTGTTCAAGTAGTTGGTGCTTTCAGAGGGAACCTGAATGTGACCTGGATTGCCCAAAGCAGCTCATGTTGTAGTGGCCTTAGAACAGATCTGATGTTTACACAGACATTACTAATTATCTGTAGAGTTTTTCATGAGCTGCTCTTACATGGAATTCCATCCACTAGGGAAAGAGATATTTGAAAGTGCAAAAGACTTCATATGCTTGAGGATTTTCATTACTGTTGGAGCACCACTATTTGCACAGTTGCTGTGTGAAAGCTGAGTGCATAAATCCCATTGGAGGGGAACTAACACAATAACCAAGAGCACCAGTAAAAAAATAAATAGGAAAATTCTCCCATTGTGTAATTCGTCTGAATAGGTTTGCTGGTTCTTGTGTAAATGGAGTGTAACTTCGGAGGATCCTAGCAAGATACACAGTAGATAAGCAGTTCCTCAGAAATCCTCAGAAACTGAAGGTGTCAACTTATAAAACTCGTATAACAGGAAAGTTTGGCCTTTGTATGCAGAGGCTAAGTTGGTTAAACAAACCTCTAATATTGACCTGATTCCTTAGTCTAACTCTCGGTGTGAAAATTGAGATTATTGGTTTTTGATAAACGCAACATTCCTTTCTTCTAATAGCTCCCAGCAAGATCAAGGACTTAGATGGGTGAAAGTAATATTTTCTTTCCTTTTTCTAGATTACCATTTAACTGAAGACAGGAAATTGCCAGTGGGATCGTCTGTGAGCCTTGGAAGGGGCCCTCATGTCTTTGAGCCTCATTTCCCAGGAAAAAGCCTGTCCCTGCAGGCTGAGGTTAAGAGATGTGCACTCCCCTCGGATGATCAGCTGGAGATCAGCTTGGCAGTGCCACAAACAGCACGTGCTTCCTGCAGAACCACAGTACATTGGCTGGCTCCATCAAAGAGATCCAGTAGCTCCAGTGTGTCCAACCCAGCAGATGGAGATGGCATCTCCTTTGCCCAGGAGATGCCAAAACTGCAGTAAAGCAGCTCCCAGCCTGCCTTCCCCACGTGGCAGCCAGAGGTGCTCGTGCACGGAGCAAAGGAGTTTTGCCCAGCAGCTTTCTCAAGCAAAGGACAGAAGATGGCACTGTCTGGATTTTCTTGTTTCCTTCTCTTTTGGAACAGCACGTGCCAACATGGAATCTGAACCATTGGTGCTATTGGAAAAGGACTAAGCAAGCTGCATGGCCCAACTCTTGGCAGTGCAGTGGGTTTAACTCCCAGCATGTCCTCACAACTCCCAGGCAAAATCATTTTTCCTTTCTCTCTAAAATCCCAGTGACACACTGTGGAATAATGGATAGGGTTGGAAGTTAAAGGAGAATAAGGATTACAGAGGAGACCCAGCGGCTGCTTCCCCTGTGGAACACAGTCACAATACCCCACAGAGGTTTTCTAAACACTGATAAACACCTGTTATGGGGGATGCAACGGAGAGGGGAGCAACATGGAGGCACTGCAGCTTCCCTTCAGAAACATCCTGCAGGGAGGGCAACATGGTGACACTTTGTGCCCACCAAGAAAGATAGATGCCAGGACAACTACCCAATTACATACTTATGACTAGAGTCACTCAAGCTCCACCTAAATCTAAAGAAATAATAGGAAAGGAAGTTGGAAATGGGGAGAAATTGGAGGAAGATTCCACCTCAACTACTGGGATTGGCTGAGAGGCTGAACCTGTCTTCCCTCCCTGCTTTAGGGACGCTTATCAGGTGACAAACTTATTCTAGGTGTTGCTTTCAGGACTAGAGCTTGCTTTTGCTCCATAATCTGTTGGTAGATTGTTTTGTATTAGAGTTTGTGCTTGTGCTTTCTTTATAGTATGATTAGATTTCTTTAAACACATTTTTGCAGTTAGATACTATCACCAATGACCTAAAACCCTTAT